GGAGAAAAGTTTAATTTAGAAGACCACCATGTCGCGCTGTTAAGAACGACAAAAATTAAATTTTATCACATTACAATACACATATCTCAATAATAAGCTAACAATAATAATAGAGTACATTATTATTCAGTGAGTAGTACACTTTTTAAACGTCAGAGGTCAGTTTTTTTTTTAACCAATTTAATCAAAATTTGTATTAAATCTTTGTTATAACATCATAAATTAAAAATAAACTGTAATACTGTTAAACACTGTGAAATAACATTAACTAAAATTACTCCAAAAAGAAAAACTACACAAGACTGTGATTATTTTCAGAGAGTATTAGTGTTGTATGTTAAATGTATCTTCCTGTATAGGTTATATGTTTTTTTTTAATTATTAAAACCAGAACGACATATTGAAACACGTTGCTGGTTACTCGGCCCAGAACAATTGTAGAATAACATTAACTCAAAAGTAAATAAAACCATTAAAAATGTAGTCGAGCAGAGCGTAACGAGGGTTGTACACTGCACTATATAAAATAGAATATATAATATTAAACTGTTCCTTGACCCTTTCACCGACACTTTTAGTTACTAACAATTATTATTCCATCGTTGGCATCAGCTGTAAACATTTTTCGTTTTGTTAACCGAACAAAACAAACGAGTTGCCATTATTAGTTGAAAGCAATAAGTCGCTCAGAGTAGGTAACTTACAAGTGTATTTTATATTATGGCACACAAACGTTAAATTATATTATTCGTTTTGAATTTTTATAATAAAATAAATATAATATAATATATAATATTTATAATATAATAAATATAGGGAAAAAACTAGCTAATGAAACGTTTAAGATGACGCCATCACCATTATGTTTATCAACAGCATATAAACACTATTCGTATAATCTACAAATAACAAATAAATAAGTAGGGCATTTTGCCTTATCGCCGGGGATTTTTTTCATTATTGTTTTTTTTGTTGCTAGAATAGCCAAAGAACCAGTATCTGATATTATTTTGTTATGCGAACTCCTAACTACTATTGTGTCACAGCAGAGTTTTTAAATATCAAAAATAATACAATTATCATTTATCAAATGTATGAATCCTGAAAAATTGTACAAATCTGTACTTGTTATGTTATGTTACCTACCTATGACGCACAATTTAATCTTTTTTTGCGTTTAATATAACAAAAAAATAATAAAGGTATGTACAATACGAATATTGTTTGCATAATCAAAAACCAACAAATGTACTGCGACATAGTGTAAAAGAAAAAAGTGTTCACAAACAGTTCTGCAAACAAACATACCGAAACCGAAGAGGAACATGGAATATAATTTTCAAACAATAATTTAGAAAGAAAAAAAATCACATTTTTATAATGGTCAACGCACCCATTTGTTTGTATTCAAAAGTACACTGTTTATCTGTCAGTCGTTTTAAAAAATATTATTTATGTACATAATAATTATTTTGTGATTATGAAAAAGCCATTAACGTTTTAAATACATATTTAAATAATAGCAAAATTAATATTTTATTGCCAATACAGTTTTTATGATGATAATATTATGTAATTTTTGAAGTTAAAGTCAATACAAGTTATATATTAAGTTTAAGCTGTCTCGAAATACTGATAACTATAAAAATAAGGTCCATTAACTAATTTATTTGTATTGAGAGAATATATTAGTTTTCAGGGCGTTACTGTAATTATTTCCTAATTATGGTTGTATGCTTCTTCTTAATTTAATCCCTTATAAATAATATTATAAATTTAGACAAGATAAGCCGAGGTTCGTTGAGAAAAAAATAATACCTTTTCGTGATTACTACATAAAACGTGATTCGACTAACAACGTACACAACCTTTGTTTAGTGTACCGAATTTACAGTACAATAACTAAAAATATAAGAACACTAAGAAGCTCCAAGTTTCCTTAGTATTAACAGATAATGAAATATATAATAATATTTTTGATGAGCAGATTCTATATTATCGCCTACAGCAAAAAAATAGTTTTCAACCTAAACAATTTTTAAAAAAAAATACTACACATATTAGAACATGTACTGCTTATACTAACTAATTACCAATAGTGGTATACTTACACACACACACACACACACACACACACATATATATATATATATATATATAGCCATTTCGCCTACATAAGCAAATATTTAATAATTAATATCCCTAATGGAGGAACAGATTAGTTCAGACTGGCTTCCGGTCGTGAACGGAAGTTAGGTGCATTATCATCTGTGCCGCATAATTCTTATTTAGATAAAGTTCATAAATAACTAACTCTTCTTCAACAAAATAGACAGACAACAAATTGACGGTAAAATGAATGCGAATTATAATAAAGATACACATAAAGATGTGGTCGATTTTTGTAGTAACTGAGAAAATCCATTTACTGAATCAAACACTGTGTTAGCTTAAATTAAAAAATGGAGTAATCGAGATAATTCTAAGTACTATATAATATGACTATTACACAGTACTATTACTGAGCTCCAAGATTCTAAAAAAAACCTATTAAAAAGGCAATTGTATAATCTAAATAACCTGTGTCCATAGGACAATACAAAATATTATGTTTCTTTAGTCGTTGAATATAAAAATAAGTTTTCCCCCTTCATAAAATAGAAAAAAACTGGTTATGTCGGGTAAGGTCAGTTAGGTGCAGCAATTGAAGTTTCACATGCAAATATAAGTCATATATCCTATGAATTAAATGAACGCGAAGACACTTTCCTTTCTAGAATACTGGTAGCTTTAAATGCAGACTGGATATGATGGTTTTTTTATTTTTATTATTACATCAACCTAATAATTATTTATCCTTCAAATTCACCATTTGTGTACTAACGTATGCCAAGTGCACGCCCCTTGCAGTGGATAGGGTTTCTTTGGCCTGATTTATAATTATTAATTATTATTGTCTAAACCAGTGTTGTAGGAAAGAATGCATCCCTGGAATGTCATTATTTTCCAAAGAATGCTATTTTTTTTTGTCATTGGCATACACGCGATCCCTTTTAACGCGGTCGATAATAATCTATTGTGGTCTATAATATATCATAATATTAAAATAATAACATCATAATAGCTTGGACGCCGTAAAAAAAGGGCGATTTTTTATTTTCTTTAAAGTGGTGTCTGATTAATAATGTGTGTTTCTTAGCGTAAAATTTAATAGAAAATAGGGATTTAAAAACTAATAGTGATAAAATCACTCTAAAAACCTAACCTTATCTGTAGATATATATGTATATACAAAGTCGTTGTCAATAATGTGCTTAAAATTATATTTTTAGCATTGGGGCTGATACGATTAGGGTTGTCTGTCTACAACATAATAAACATATTTTCCGGACACCTGTTGACTGTCACTTACAAGTAGTACACTAGAAATTGACTACCTACGGTCAAAGTGTAATATCCATAGTTTGACTGCAAGATTATTAAAACTTCATCTAAATAAGCGAAGTAGAGAAATAGTGTCCACCCCTTCCTGAGAAAAGGGTTTATGATATATGTTTGGTTTGTCAACGTTTGTCGGTAGCATTATTTCTAAAGAATATTCCATACCAATTTGGTGATTTTAAGTTGAAAATATGTACATTTGTTAGTATTTTTTTCTAGATTTTTGGAAGGGTTGATTTTTTAAAGTTTTTAGTCCGACAAAGTACCTTTCAGGTACGATTTCTGATCTATAGAATTGCTACACGAAGAAATCGGTCTAGCGGTTTTGAAGGTATAAAAATCCGTGGCTTGAGTCTAAAGGACCAATCTCACATTTTGTAACTTTTAGCGAATGGGCTTCAACGTTTTTATTCTCCATAAGGCTCTATGTCAATATAACTTATCACCAACAGTGATTGTGTTGATGACAGTCAGTAGGTTATCTCTTAAAATATGATAGCTAAAACTTACATATGCACATAACTTTTGTTATTAAAACCTAATATCAGATGTTTCGAAATCACAAAAAACATTTTTCACATCAAAAAATAACTATCAATTTTGTTAGGCATCTTTTTTATCTAATATTTTTCCTAATTAAAAACCATCTCATGGAAGGAATATTTTTTTCGAAGCATTTTTTTGGAACAGTTAGTGCAAGAACTTTTTTTAAAACTTTTTATTATACGTCAGAACTTTTATAGAAAAAGTTCTTTCGAGAATACCATTGTAAGGACATTTTAAATAAAAGTTCTTCCAATAACTCTTTGGTCAGGACTTTTAAGTAGATGTTCATCATTATAAAAGTTCCCACTTACATAATTGTATGGATGCATTTATCCAAACGATTTCCAAAAAATAGAAAAGCGGTTCAGAGGTTGTTGATATATTTGCAAATGTGAACACTAATTATATAAATGAGAAGTTATACTTAAAATGTTTTAGTAGGAAATTTTATGAAACAGTTTTGGCGAGAACTTATAATAACAAAACTTTAATCAACAATTTCTTTTAATATCGGTTCTTATGGAACTTTTGATCGAAAAGTCTATTTATAACTTCTCGTTGGATTTTTATGTTAGAAATTTAACCGGAAAAGTTCAATAACTGTTTTGTACCCTAATAATGATAAAAACACAAACCGTTGTAAAGAAAACTAAAAATACCTTCTCAGCTAAGCTCACCGAAGCAGTGGCGCCCATTTAGCTCACCATGTAATGCAACTGCATGTGCACCTACCGAAGGGTGATACAATTTTAAAATTTGTAACCATCTGTCAAGTATAATATATTTCTTTAAATTTTTTATTACGTATGTGTCTTAATTGTTGGCCAAAAAATTAATAAAAAAAAAAAGTGAATTTATTTTGGTTAATAAAAGTTGGTTGGTAGGTAGGTTAATAATTTTATCTAACTACATATTGTGCTGTTATAAAACTCCTGTGCGCCGAAGCTGAACCGAAGCTATAAAAATCGTTTAAATTTAAATAAAAAAACTATTTTATTTTTTTGTTGCTTTACCATCGGTTATTCGGAAGTTTTCACCGGGGCCGTCGATGTTCGATGTCATTTAGATTGGACACGCCTAGAGGAGGAGTGAGTGAGATTGTTAAAAAGAATAAATCCAAAATCTATGAAAATATTCGGATCATTGCACGTTTTTTGAAGCGATGCTAAACACCGGTCGACAGGACGTGTACCGCGGGCGATCACTCGGCAATTGTCCATGCCATATGCATGCGGTCGTGGGCGCAGCGGACTAGCGACTAAACAGCGGGTGCCGGCCCGTGTAGTGTGACTGGCGAATAGCGGTTGCCAACGCCGCCACTGCCGCTGTTGAAACGCGAAAAAAAAAATAATCGATTATGGAGCGCGACATTCGTCCTAAGTAGACTGTATGTAGAGCTACAATATTATTAACATTATTAATATATATACATATCATTTACGGTTTGCACACGTGTGTTATGCTAACACGATATTTCCACTTGGGCGCCAACACCAGCAGCAGTTACAGCAGTTATAATATTATTATGCACACAAAACAACTGCCGCCAAAGAGCGCTATTGATAACGTTCGAAGGAACGTCGTAGAACCTCACCCCCCTCCTCTAATTATTAAGATGTCAAGTATAGACAGTTTTTTTTTTAGAAAATCTCAATTTAAACGTTAAGTTAGTAATTGGTTATTACTACGAAGAAAATAAACTGTACCTACATATGGGTTGTTCATTGTAAAAGTGGTGTAACTAAAAAAAAAAACAATAAAAGAGTATCCACACTTCATGCAGATACATCAATACATGGATATGTCCTGCAATCTAGTATCTCTAATCTATTATCTCTATTAATTCACCTCCACAATTCCTTCTCCATACTCCATAATGACGTCAGCACTGTGACACAAAACGTGACGGGCAAATTTTCAAAATGACCTTCAGTCATAAGACATATTCATGTCAAAAATTATTTATTTATTACATATTTAGTTTTGGTTTCATTTTCTAAGTTACTACAGATTTGTATAACCTTCGATTTGTAATAAACAATAAAAAAAATAGAAAACACCGAATGAATACATACTTGTGTTTTTCTTACACATAACTTAATTTACAAAAAGCTCGGTTATTTCAAGATTCAATTACAAGGAGATGATTCACTTTTACAACGAACGACACATATTTGTCCTAATTTGTTTACAATCAACCGATCCGACCAGAATTTAATTATACATTTAACGAATGAAACTAACAATTTCGAATCGTGCCTATCCACAGCGGTACATTTGTTCCACCTTCAACACTTGCTATAAAAAAAAAATATACTTTAGAAAAAAAGGTTTATGTTAATGGGATTGCATGCGGTCTTTTTTTAAGGAGTTTTTTATAGGCAATATTAAAGTGGGAAAAAGGTTTTGATCAATTTCCACCATGACAAATAACCAGATTTGAGGTATTATTTTTAGCTTCAATATTTTTTTCTATTAGTAAAAGCTATGTTTGCTTTTTTTTAGACCAAAAAAACCAGACAAATGTTCTACTCTATAGAATGGTCCAATTTAAATTCTGTAAAAATATTCTAGTGCTATGAAGAAAAATTGTTTTTATGTACAACTTGACCGGGAAGAATACATTCTATTCGACTAGAACGCGTTCAGATTCTTTTTCTTAGTACGGTTTTCAAACTATGGGAATCAACCATGATGACTTTGGTCTTCAAAGCACTTAATCTTCCATCACCACTAATAAACTAAGTGAGGTATTAGATGGGCGATTTTTTAATTGGCAATCATTGTCTAGCTCATGACATATACTAATGGCGACACACTCCAAAACTGTATCTTATCTTAAAATAACTAATACTCGTTTAACTTGAACAAGTTTTGGAATGGCGCTCTTCAATTTCAGTTAATATTAATAAATTAACCTATACTACCTTTAATGTTTAGATTTTGTATTTTATATGAATGCCTTCACAATTTATGTTTAGGGTTTGTAGTTATTATTTATTTATTTTAATATAGTTTTAGGGAATATTTAAAAAGAAAGTTGGAGATTAGTTAGTGATCATAGTAATAGATTATAATATACATTATTTGTACAATTATCTCTAACATTCAAACTTACACATACACAATCTAGACAGAAAAGTTTCCTCGGATGTGATCATCCAAACTGGATTAAGTATGACAGATTGACGCCATCAACACAAAAGTAAGATAGTTGAACTTTTAAATTAATGAACTCCGGTTTTCCAAAATATGATACTCCAAGAAGAAACTCTACCAGATCTACAAACTTCACTCGTGTGAACAAACATTTCGCCTATACGTTTGTGCTTATGTTTTTAAATTACAAAGTGATTAAGATTTTGGACATAAACAAATTTGTTAATTCATTATTTAAACATGCACTCATAAACAATACACATATTTTTTTTTGTCACGGTTCCTTTATTTCCTATCATTATTTATTACCATACTTATCTAATGCCAAATTAAACGTTTCTTTATTATTCCAGTGTATAATTTAAGGCCTGTAGTCTTTGAGTTATACGCTGCTATGTCAATATTTGAGTCTGTGCTGTTTAGTTGCATGATATTTTTCCATGAGCAGATAAAGTGGTTTTGAAGGTCATAAATCGAAGGTTTTTTTGTATGTGTGTGTGTGTGTGTTGTTGATGACTTTGTTTATCGTGCAGCTGTTGTATATGTAAATAGCTGAATGTTGTACTTGGGGAAAATCGTTTGCGATACAATTTACAAAATGTGTTGTCGTTCGTTCAATAGTTGGCGCAATAAGGCCAACCATAAGGATTTTGGGATTGTCACGGCTTTTTCGATAAAGATAAAATAAAAAAAGTGAAAATTTTGATCCAACGTTGATGGCAATTGTTAAAATGGGGGACAGGAATTTTGTTAGGTACCAAAAAAAATATAGTTAATCTAGGTCCGAGGGTCGAAATCCGTTAAGTACATTCTGTTGTTTACATATATAATATTTGACGGTTAAAAAAACATAACACCCAAGCAGAAATTACCAAAAAACACACAGCTTCTTATAACTTTCCAAAATTCCACGTTTTTTTTTTTAATGACATTTAAACTCTATTTAGTTAGTTGCATTAAAACTCTTTACCGAAAAAAATAAATACTGATGCCTTTAATATCATTAACCATTTTAACTAACGTTTTAAATTGTTACCAGAACAAAATATATCTTCCAATTTGTTTGAATTTAATATATTTTTGACTTAGTTACAAATAACAATTAATGTAACCTATATTATAATATACATTTTTTTTGTCGAGACTCGCGATTACTAATTATTTTAACTAATTTTCATATTATTATACATTCAGAATATAAGCCAGAATTGTTTTATCGAGGGTACTTAACAAGGCCCAAAGATGAATGAACTCATCCTTAACAATGGAATCACAATAAATAACACCTTTAAAATGAACAAATTATTCAAGTGTCCGCTTTGACAGGTTATACACAAACCCTGTTGTATTATTAAGAATCATAATCTAAATAAATCCATTTTTTCCACGGTATTCTTCGAATCTGTCCCTTCAAAAAAAATAATCAATATATACTTAGCTGGTAAAATATGTTTGGTATTTTTTTTTCCAATAATTTTTAAATATATTTTCTTTGTTTTTATTTTCCGCTTGTAGTTTAACGACTTTAGTGTTAAACCTACCAAATAGTTACAGTTATTGTGTTTAAATAAAAACTTTTATTTTGTTACATTAGTGACAACAGACTATCATATAAAATATATTGCTTTTATAGAAATTGTTTAATAGAAACTCTTTAATAGTAAAATAACTGAACAAATTATACAATTGATTTGTTTGTATTAATCAATTATTATTGTCTATTGAACAAAAAGAAAGAAAACAACAGTAGGGCGCTCCCATTGTTCTTAGAACGATTCAAAATAAGAATAATGCCAGAGGCTGAAACTTGTAATGAAGTAGGTAACTTAAAGAAATGGCAAAAAACGCTTTCAAAATTAAAAAGTGCATTTGATTATTTCACTTGACGTTCAACACAATTTTGAAAACAAAACCAAAACGGTGTAAAATCAGTTAATTTGACTTTTATAAAATAATATAGTTTTTAAAAAAATAAAAACTATTTCAGGTGTACAATCACAAAGAACTCTAGTTTTTATAAAACTTATTGAACACCATGTGTAATATTTTAAATTATGTAAAATGTACAAGTGTATTGTACTAGTGAGTATAAGTATAAATGTATATAAACATTGAAATATAATACTATCCATTTCTGACAGTTTAAAATTAAAATGCGACAATTTTGTTATGTACTTGAAACTTTTTTACCGCTATAAAATAACAGTTATTTTAACAATCAGTGTGATTTTCAAGACAATTTTCTAATAGGGAATTACGCGATACGATCAAACAAACTATATCACGAAATTGCTTATGCCACGAAAATACCTTCCTTCACCCTACTATATTTTGTTTTAAATTAGAATCAAAAAGTGTGGCATCATTTTAAAATGTACAATCATACAGATTTGTCTTAAAATACAACGTAATTTCCAAACGACCAGTGTAAAATAGAAATATAATTCATTATTATCATCGTGCTATAATAATTATCATAACATTATCTTTTTAGGTATTTTTAATAGCACAATATTTCTTTAGTAATCAATAAAAAGGTTTTATTTGTAAAATTTTTAATTTTTTGTGTAATATTAAGTCGTGGGGTAACAATTATAGACTATTTAAAAACTATTTGAAGATAGTCATCATGTTGTTAAAAACAGCGTTTAAGAGACATTAACGTAGAAAGGAAAGTTACTTTTTTGAGTTCACATCCAGCTGCTGGCACTTTTATAGAGAAATAGAAATAATTATAGTAATTAATTTTTAATACACAGTTTTTTTTTGACAGATTTAGACGTGTCTATTTCATTATAATAATGGTAATATTATTTTTTTTCAAATGAAAATTAAAAGAGAATATTTTAGTTTTAAGTCAAAAATTAAAATGAAATAAGTGAACTTTTTCGATCCGCCTCGTTTATGGTAAAATTGTTCAACTATATAAATGGGACAGATCAAATGTTATCATTTTAAGGTGGATTCCACTTTTTAATTGGCTTGTTTATGATATTCTAAATAATACGACATTTCACTTTAGTTACCACACGCTATTGTGATAGTATTAAATATATGCTATGACTCGCATGTTGTTGTTATTGTTTAGTTTTTTAAATGTTAATTTAAATACTTGTACAAACGATGTAATGTGTTCGTGTATGATTTTTGTGTATGTCAATTGTTGTGAAATAAACTCTAGTGTTTGACTTGTATGGTATGGTAACTAAAATTTGATCATAATGGCGAAAAACATAATACCTCAAGAGGATAACACAAGTGAAATACTCCAAGCTGAGTTGCTTCAGTATAGCTTTCTAAACAGACGGCAAGAGCTCACGAAAAACCAAATCGACGATGGACCAACTAACCATCGAAAGTAAAAACAACAGTGCTGTACAAGTTTAAAAAGAAAAATATTGTACAATTTAATTTTGAACACAAGTACTCACCTCTAATTCACACCTTATGTGAAAAAAAAATATATCTAGTTGATAATTTAAGGTTTAGATTTTTCACAAAAAAAAACTGTACATAAAGAAAGTGATTTACTTCATTGGAATAATAAAAACTTATTCAAATGTGCCTACAGAGTGTAACTGAAATCTGTGTCTTCCTATAAGAGCAAAGAATTGTTTTTTTCTTCTTCAAATAATAGGATTTTGTGCATATGTCTATTCGATAAATAATTGTAATGTAAATAAAAAATTAATTGTTTCATGATATTTCTTGCCAGATTTTCTTAGTTATGATATAAGAAAAATTATCATGTTATTTTCGAGGCGAAGCTAAGAAAGAGACACTACTTTTTGTTTCTTTAAAAAATACCGGGTGATATTTATTTCCTATGGAAAAGAGTTTTTGTAAGAAGTTAGTTTTTTTCCGACAAGTATAGCAAATCATTATCTTTTTAAAAAACATTTTTATTTTTAAACCATCTAACATTTACACCGATTTTTCTATAATTAACGCAAACTACCACTTCTAATTATATCTAATCTGTCGTCTTACCCGTTTAGTGTATGCAAATTACTCAAACTGACGTCAGAAGCGTACCTATGTGTCCTAAAAGTAAATCGATTATAATGCAATAATTGTAAATTTGTATTCTCTAAATTTATGGTTAAAGGACATACTATTATAGACAATTCTAAGACAGATTATCTAGTTTAAACTATCGCGGTAAATATAAACAATAGTGCTTTAATTAAATTTAAATTACTTATTGGGACATATCACATACTATATAGAGTTGACTTGTAAACTATTAAGTAGCCAAAGACTTGAAATTTTGTCTGGCTTTTTGGTCTAAAATAAACCAAAATGGCTTTTTACTCATAGAAAAATGTATTTTATTTAAAAAACAATACCTTGAAGCGTTTAAAAATTAACCGGTAAATTAATTGACACGTTCGAAATTTATTAAAACCTCTTTTTCTTAGATATTGCCTATGCAAAACTGACTGCACGCAATTCCCTTGACATAAACATTATGTTTTTTTATACTACCATTTTCTTATGCCTGTTGTGCGCATAGATGGGCCATTAAAGTGTTGGAGGAAGAACGCAACAATTTGGTCAACGATTTGAATATGACGATGAACAAATTGAAAATGGAAAAAGACAAAAAATATAAAGCCAAGTTCACGCGTACGATCAACGACACGAAGAAATTGCAAGTGGAATTGGCCGAACAAAAAATCATCGAAAAAGAAATAGATAAGGAGATTGTCAGATGGAAGGCCGAACTGGCCGGTCTAGTGAACGAGTCCAAGAAAGACGGGGGCCACAGACCTAAGCTGATTACGGTAGGTTGTTCCAAAAAACGCTAATTACACCAATTTGCCATAAAAATAAGTAAAACGTTGTCGACTTTAATGTTTTGTATCTCTCGCAGAATATAAGCACATACAATAAGTTGATCAGCCGACAAAACGAGCTCACGTCCAAAGCGGAATCGTTGTTAAAACGGCGACAACAAAAGCAAAACGTGTACAACGGTTTAATGAAAAAACTAAACAAAGGCAGAGAGATAACTGCGGACCTCAATGAGCAGACCACGAGGACATACAAAGACAGGTAGGATGACTTTTTTAGCAAAAAAAAAAAAAGTTGCTCGTCGATGATAGAGATGGACAACGCGAATAATAGTTGTTAAGTTGGGCATGATTGAAAAAGTTAATCGTGGACAATAGTCAATTCAATAATTATTCGTATGGTTATTTGTGGTTATATGAACAATCAACTTGTATTCAAAAAATTATTTAAATAAAATATTAACTAAGTAATGCCCAACTCTGCTAGAACTTCGAGTATAAGTAAAATGTGTATTCTTTGTTAAACCTAATCGTACAACAATGTTTAACACTATTTTCGCATTCCTGCGTCGAGTTATAAAAGTAAAAAAATAAATAAAAGGACTATAGGTAATATGTTTAGGCGTACCTTTTTTTATTCCCTTGAGACGTTTTTCATACAGAAACCGTTCAATCGTGTATAAATGAATTCACAGTTGAACGATACCGTTTTTTTGTTTTTTTTTGTAGAAATATTTCAATTGCTTTTTCTATCAACAACTGGAACTTTCTAAACTGGAATTCAATTAGCTAGACCCCTCTGGATTTCACTCCATAGGACCGCTTTGTTATTAAGTTTAAGACAAGCGGCATACCAACTTAACCAAAATTCGACTTATCCCTCAGATATGGTGACACTGATTTTTTTTTAATTTACGGCACAGTCTGCTTCAGAGCCTGTAAAAACGCTCATTAAACGGTTTAAATTTTGTATTGAATCAATTAATTCTATTAATTTTAACACACGAAATTATTTATTTAAATATTTTCGTTCTTTCGACATACATATATATTTAATAAGTTTGTTATAAATATTTCATACTGTTAATAATTGGTTTTATTGTCTACTACGAAGTAGTATTATTACGAGAAATCGTTTAAATAAACCGAATTTTTGTGTTGTGATAACAGAAACGACGCAAAAGAACGTTTGGACTTGTATATGAACGTCAGTGACGATTTAAATAAAGAACGCGAATTTAGTCTGTTGTTGAACAAATTGAGATTGCAAGATGATATAAAACAGACTCAATTCATCTCACAAAAATGTAAATGTTTTTCGACAAAATGGTAAATTATGTATTGCATAGTAAGTTTTCTGTACTCGATCAACTCGCTCACTTGCTGAACACACGGGACAAGTCTTTTGTTTAGAAAAATCTACTTTAAAAACAATATTTTGTCTACATAAAAGTTAAAACTAATTGCTATCACATGTCAATTTTGATAAAATGAATAGTTAGATACAATTATTAATGATAAAATAAAAATAAAAGTATAGCCTGATTCAGTTTCAAATGTTAATCTGAAATAATTTAAACAGCAAATAAACGAAAAATGAAAGATTCGGAACAAACAAATGAAAGAAATACCGAATTCGCCGTTTTGAAAGCTGAAGCAGAACATTTTGTCAAACACTTAATTTGCTATGCAGGAGATCAAAACATAGCCAACGTCACTGAAAATATTGTTAAAATGGACATAAACAATGAGTCAATGTTCGAATTACTTGTTGCAATTGAATTATATGTAAGAACACAATATGATATCACAATTATTAACTGTTTGATACTAGTATAAAAAAAGTTACAAGTAAGTAAGTCAGATGTAAAAATGATATAGGCACTGGCAGATAAGCAAAGGGATTTTGAGAGAAAATAGGGTAGACTTTGTCAATCTTGAAGGATCACTGTTTTTATTTTTCTTTGAAATTAATTTCTCAACTCCGCGGCATAGTATATAATACTCTTCTTATCGCCCTAGCAAGAAAAGTCTTAAATTAAGCCTTCGCACACACAATTTATGTCGCATTTAATCTTGACTTAATGTTGAAATAAAGCGAAAAAGATTATTAAAGCATAATATAATGGAATTTATTATAAAATCGCGTTTTCATCAATTCTTTTGCTATTATTTACCTAAAATCATTTTATGGGATTTTTTAACTAGATCCTAGTGTATAAACTACAGTGTAAAAGGAAAATGGCTTATAATGATTTAAAGTACACAATAACTTAAGTGCAATGATAACAATACTTATAGGTATATTATAACTTTTGTCGTTATTTAAATAGCATATAATCGATTTAAAAACAATTACAGTACATTGAGAAAGTTCAGTTTTATTATATCACATTATCATCCTTTTCCAATATTACTTTCAATGGCAATGCAAAAGAGGGTTTTTTTTCACAAAACACTTTTACGTTGAATCACTTAACAGGATGTTTCATTTTATGGAAACACTAAACACCTACATAATCAGTAAGGTTAGGATTTTCAAAATCTATATTTATACAATTTTTTATCATTTTGCGTAAGGAATTTTTTAAAAGTTGTAAAATTGGGCCTTTGTTTTAACGAAAACTTTTAAAATTGAAAGTTTATATTTATTTAATAAATAAATCCACTTGGTCTGTGTTTGAAATGTAAAATTTTTATTTGTTATCATGCACAATATTATATTAACATGCTAAAAAAAAAAGTGTTCTACAGAAAACAATATTAACTTTAAGAATATTACAACACTTAAAAGTAGTTATCACAATATTTTACTTTGTAAGACTTTTTTAATCACAGTTGTACATTGGTTTATAAAATAACACATATTCGTCTTTTTTTCTAGTAAAATAAAATTATGTTTTTCTAATACAGAAATTTCCGGTATCCAATGTGCATACCTTGTCAATATTCTACCACAATATCAAATAAAAATACAATTTTAAAAAACGCATTTTGCAAAAAAAAAACAGAATTGGGCCTAATAAGTGTCGATTATTTTTAGATTAATATTGCTCTGCCGACTGTACGAATTACTGTTCTTATTCAATAGGTGGTTTTATTATTTTCCCCAAGAGTGTTATAATATACCGTCGCTTAAGATGCAACACCTATCTCGTTTTTCTCAACTAAAGTAAAGTCACTTCACAGGAGAGAAAAATATAAATTTTAATTACCATTCAATAACATAATAACCATATTGTTATCAATTATTATTCGGTTATAGCGTTGTATGTTGACTTTAATCATAAATCTGTGCTGTAGAATGTAGATTCCCAGCGCAAATTCAAATAAAACAGTGTGGCCAACTTGATGATTTGACCAAAAAATGAGATATAAAGGTGTTGCACTTTAGGCGACGCATACAATACAATATAATATCCGTTACATTGACACGATTATAAAATATGTATTATTAATAAACAATTTGTCTGTTAACTGTGTGGCAGCTGACACGTTTGGAGAACGCGATCGCAAAGTCGAGGCAGACGGTTTGTAAGAAAAACGACCAGTTGTCAGAAGAGAAAAAAGCCAAACAAGAACAACTAGCCGGCCACGCGCGACTGTACAAAGACGAGGCGATTCGCCTGAACGGCATGCGCTGTGAGCTGCAACGGTTGGAAACCCAATGGGAAAGCATATGCCGGTCCGTGGAAAAGGTGTGCGACCTCATACGGTTGGACCGAAGCCCGCTGTCGAGGCTTCTGGGCGATTACCAGCACCCGAACCGGTACAGCATGGTCGAATACTTCAAGCTGATGGAACACCGTGTCAACGAAATCGTTTACTGGCTGTATTGTGCCCAAGACAACTGTTTGAGCGGCGTGTACGAGGACTTGATGTCTTCCGGGTCGGAAGACGACGATTTCATTAGCAAGGACCTGGCCGGCGTGAAAAAGAAACAGCCAAACATCCTGACCAAAAAAGACCCCACCGCAATGCCGGTCGCCCCCAAAAAGTTGCACCCCGGAGATGTTCCGACCATTTGCCCGATGTGAGTATTGCTATCGATGAGTGTCGGGATCTACCACAGAATAGATAAAAGCATATAAGGTCACTTTTAAAGTAAACAAAAACGTGACGGCCATGTTGAAAGGGGGCATACAATGACCGTACCCTTACCTTTTCTTATCTATTTAGTAATATCAGTTTAAAATATTGATACTACGGTTTGTATTTTATAAAATATATTTGTTTAAATTAGTTATAACTTAAATTTTTTAATTGCTAATTCATATTAACATCTCTTAAAGCAATTTTTCTAGTCATTAAATCAATTATTGTTTTGACTTTTGTATAAAAATTATACTCTACTTTTAGTTTTATGAAAATGGTCACACTGCGACGCTCTAAGACTATGGCCGTCGCGTTTTTATGCGATAAGTATCTTCCCTGTGAACATTTTTATCAGTGTCCGGGGCCTGGATCTACCACCCTCAGGGCTTCTACCCTTGGACTCGCCGTAAGACCTTTACAGCATCGCTTGCACTATCTAAACTCTAACTGTCTAAACTCTATCAGATTCATAAAAAAACGTCAGCAACCAATAATAAGGCATAACCCCCCTAATTGAGGCGCTCAGATGCCAAACCGATTAACTCCACTTTTTTTCTTCAAATTCTAAATAATAGCATAGTTGGATTAAAAAAGTGTTTAATTTTCAGTAGCCAAGATAAATAACTCCATAGTTGAATTTTTTACCACTAAAGTGCGCTAAGCAAATTGACAGTTGTACTTACATACATTGTTTAAAATAACTTTAACTGCCTGTCTTTGAAAAATTTAATTTTATGGAGTTAATCGGTTTGGCATCTGAGCGCCTCAATTATAGTAACGGGGTTAGTTTTTCCTGGGAGCTTTAAAATGTTTTAAAAGGTCTGTGACCTTCTCCAGCAGAAGCTATATGTACACGGGACCAACTGAAATTGGACAAATTGAATTGTCGAATCTTAGAAAATGTAATTCTCTTTGAAAAAAAATTGAATATTGTCTAATATTGTAAAATAACACACACTAAAGTGTGTCTAAAAAGTAAAGCTACAAAATTTCAATTATTTTAAGAGATAATGAGGGTTTGATCCTTAATAGTATAAAAACTCTTAACTGATCCTAGTGATTACAATTTTTAACTTCATATTTTATCCCATTTATATAACATTCACTAAGTATAATTATTTCTCTTCCTCGATCTCCATCTCCCCTCAACGCTAAACTTGAACTCTTAATAAGTAGGTATGTCTTATAACTCTCGAGCTATTTCTCTCCAACGCAATGCCTCTCCCATTGTTTTGAATTGGACTACCTAATATTTCTGTGATCTCATTTACAAAAACTTCATAATTCCAAAACAACAGATACTTGGGTGCCTCGGGAGCCAACATAATTAGTGACTAACATATTTGATTGTTAAACATTTTTTTAAAAAACCGTGTCAGATTTTTTCACATGATAAACGGCAATACTTGGATTTTAATACTTAAAGGCTGAACACTACAACTCTTAGTATATCAATCGCATCAGACTGTCTTAAATAATAATAATAATATTGTGCCATTCGATTAAGGGTTAAACGCCATGGACGTATGTTTAAAAAACGTACAATGACTATAGAGAAAATATTATAACGTTGTATTTTGTTAAGCAAAGGGTAATAATTGGCAAGGCGCCTCTCATAATGTAAACATTAAACATGCCATGCTACAATAGTCAAGAGGTGTTTGTGTTGAGCCTTTTAAAATATGACAAGAAGAAAATCTCAACGAAACAAAAAAGTGATAAAAGTTATTATTATACACGTTTGATGCTCAGATTTTATTATGGGTACTTATCTACTTGTAAACAATATAAATCTCAGTATAGTAGTAATATAAGCTGCAATATAGTAAGTAAGGGGAGGCCACAAGGTAAATTTTCTAATTTGTCATGAATATATTGGTGAACAAATCAGTCGCTAACATTCTTGTATCGCATTAAACAATTAAAAAACAATTACTTTTTTTCATACCTAAAATTATGATTATGATATGAGTCATGTTTTCCGGTTTAATTTAATTCTAAACGGTTATCTATAAAGTGGTAAAATCATAACGACAAATATGCATTCACTACTAACAAATCTAAATTTAAAAAAATAAAAAACCGTTATAGTCATGCTGAAATTTCCAAACTGGATGCTCCTTAATTCATTGCATTATTTACACACCGATATTATAAGGATTAGTGTAAATAGTTTCTAAGCGGAACAGACATAGAACAAAATATAACAAAACAAAATATTAGCTTTTTAACGCTCGCAGCTTTACAGCTTTTTAAATCGGTTTGGAAGGCAACTTTATAAATTATAGGTGACTTTCCGTTTTGCTTAAATACAAAAGTCCTAAACCATTCTGCTGAAAATACAATCTAAAACATAACAAAAAAAACAAATAATATTTTTTTGGGTCGTTGTTTTTGTATTAGAACAACGGATTTGTAAAAGATGAGTTCAAACTTGAAATCCGTTTGTTTCAACCATGTGTAGGTAATTGGTTTTTAAAACTTACAAACACTAAGTTGGAAATTTAGAGTAGGTATATTATATTACATATTCAAATTTTTGTATTTTGTTAAGAACAAAAGTAAAATTATTGATAATATATTCTCATGATAATTGAAGGGGTATTTCTTAGTCAAAGTTAAATTATAAGCATAAATAAAATAAATGTTATACCTCTGTTGTAGGTATATTGTATACATTTATTATACAAGATCATCTTATATTATGTGGGTATCATATTATCTTGTATTATGAAAATCAACCAATTAGGTATACCCAAAGTCAGCACCTCAAAGTCAAGTAAAATCAAGATAAAAACTTTAGATAATAAATAAGAGACGGGAAATGTATATAATGGTTGCGCTAATAATGTTATGTGCTGTTACAAATGACCGATGCAAATCAATTGTCTTTCTACAAATATATATTGTGTCAAAAGGAGTTATGTATTAAAATATATTATCCATTTGGTTGTTCTCGGCCGGATTTTGTCAGTCAATCAAACCAAACATTAATTATTATTCTACTATTTTTCCATATCTAGTTGTGTGGAAAATGGATTTTTGGACGACGCCGATGAAGACATAGTGAAACCGACCGAAATGACTTTCCACAAACTTAGAAGTGACATGCCGGAAGTGGGTGTGTGCAATTTTGAAAGTGTCGTTGAAAGAAATATCGACCAAGACCAAGACTTAAAACCGTTTGTGCATCGCAACTCGGACTGTCCTTTGATGGCTGCTATTGAGATAAAAAAGATGACAGCCCGTAAACGCATTTGATTGAAACGGCAGCTGTCGGTTGATATTTATTTTTTACCACTATATACTATTTTTTTTCGTCAAATGTGGTGTTAATCGTATATTGATTATGTTAAACTGTTGACTTTTACCGTTTACTTTAAGGTTTAGAGTTTAAGATTGACTACTGATGATGAAGAGTGAAAAAAAAACAACAGTAAACCAGTAAAATGGGTATTATCATTAAAGAGAACCATCTCTATTCGTTACCACTCTAAGGTAATTTTATAAAAACTTCAAAGTAGACAATAATATAATACCTTGTTGGGAGTTTTTTAGAATATGGAAAAGTTAATCAAACTCCTATGTTAAGTATGACACTAGTATTCTTTATAAACATCAGCGATTGCAGCATTGTACAAAAAATATGATACTTACTTTATATACAAGTATTAGGTGTGTTTTAAATACATTTTGAAAAAGCTTAAACATATTAAAAATCATTATTATTTTCCATACAAAAGCTTTTAGTGGCTTATTAATAGTAGCTTGACACTTTTAAGTATGAAACCTGAGGAATTGTTATTTAAGTCACAAATAACAATAATTACCAATTATATCGAGTTATGTTGAAATATACTTCAATATAACTGTATCTGATTAGGATATTTTCTAAAATAATTTATTATTAAGAAATTCGAAAAATATTTTCTTTAATACATTTTTATTTGATAATATTATATTTTTTAATGATTCCACTTTGTATAATACTATAGTGTAATGTACAATTATTTTCAAAATTCAATATTTTAAGTAGATAACATCATAGATATCATTGGAACACCATTTTACAACACATAGAACTTATTTCAAAAAACTAAAAGTGTGGGTATTAAAATATTATCTTTGGTTATTATAACTCGTTCAAACAAAAATGTATTTAAAATTATTATTTTGGTTTTTGTTCAAATCAAAAAATATATTTATGATTTGACTTTTTTTATATACATTTTTTTTACTTTTAATAATAGTTTTAACAATTTCCAGGTTTACAAAGTATATGATTGTCAATTGTAAAATAATGCAATATAAATAAATATTATAGAAATTTAGGTGAAGATTTTTTATTCAAAAGTTACAAAAATTAACTAAAACTATAAATACTGTATTTTTTTTGTTTATTTACAAACACTTGAACAAAAATCGAGTTCATTTTTTTCTAGTTCTTGAAAATTTACTGTTAATATTATGAAAATTATAACCATAAATTGATTGAGATAATTTTACATAAATTGAATCAATGAAAACTAAAATGTTACTAACTAAAAATGGAATTATTTGAATACACATTGATTTCGATTTTATTATACACAGATAAGCAATCCTATTGTTAAACATGGCAGTGGCTAAAGTGCTGATGTAGGAAATCAACAACATTAGACACCGAGATAACTTATCTGAACATAATAATAATAATAATATTCAATCAAACAAAACATTGATATTTAACATACGCGTCAAACAGTATGAAAGTGTACTTGTCTGACGTTTAAAATTTAACAAACAATAAAATGTTGTACAGAACATAATTTAGGAACATTTGCCGGATTTTGTTACATATAATTACCGGTAATATAAAATTAAATCCAAGTATAAAAAATGTCGTATTGTTCGTAATTAACAGTTATAAACATAATTACTTTGGTTTTTATTAAATATTAAGAAACGGGAACTGATGAGGAACCACATAATCGGACAGAACGTATTGTTGCGAAGAGTTAGACGATAAATCCGCACTATCGTTTAAGCTGCACACTAGTGACGTTTCGATGGGGGGATGAATTCCGGGGTAACAGGAATTTTCTTCGCATTCGATTTTATAGTCCGAAGACGAAGCGACTCGCAACACTTTTTCCGCAATGTCCGCATTACTCAAGTCCAGATTATCGGAATACCCGATCATTGAATATTGCACGTCATTGTCTTCGATACCGAAATCGCCAATGTTCTCTCGTTTAAAATTGGCCATTTTCTTTTCTTCTTGCATGACCATCAACGGTGATTGTCGACAATCGTCTTGCACTAATCTCTTCACCTTACTGCACCTGTTGTTCATTTGATTGTGTGCGATAACTTGATGACGCAGCAAATTACTAGCAAATTTATACACCCTTTTACAGTGGCACTCGTGTCGTTTCGTTTCGGCGTGTTGTCTCATGTGTCTGACCAAAATCGACTTTAACTTGAAATTACTACCGCATAGATTGCAAACGAAATTTTTTTCGTCGCTGTGAATCGCCGTCCGATGATCGTCTAACGCGCCCTTTCGATAGAAACACGCACCGCAGGTTTCGCACACGTAATCTCTAATTTGCAAATGCGAGTCTTTGTGGCGCTTGTAGTTATTTCTGTATCGGAAACGTTTGCCGCATACCTCGCAAGTGTACGAGTTGTGTGGTTTGAAGTGCACGCTATTCAAGTGATGCAATAAATTACGTTTGTAGTAAAATATTTTCGAACAATGTGCACAATAGAACACATCGTTTTGATCAACGCTAAGATGAGCCGTTGTTTTTATATGACGTCTGTAGTACTTTTTCTTCTTGAATGTCTTTTGGCATTTTTTGCATTCATATACAACGCCTAGAAATACAGAAAGTCTTATTACTAACAAATAATTTCTATTACTAATATAATATTGACATCGGTGTTGAAAAGAATTTTAAGTAAATTTAGTAAAGTATTATTAAGTTTTTTTTAAATCTTATTCCAACAGGTAATCAAATATTAATAGCAAAAATGTTAAAAAAAAATATTTCCTCAACAATATCAAATAATTATAATAGTAGGAGTTTTTATTAAATCATTAACGTATTGCAAAGTACTTAAAATATATATCGATAGATTATTTCTATTAAAAATTAAATTTTTTTAATCGTCTTTTCTAAATTAACCAAACTACACAGAAAAATGTATTAAAGAAAATTTCATAATGCGTTCATTACATTTCAATGACCGTTAGAATATTACCGTTAGAAGTTTCCTTGGTTTTTATGTGATTTGGAGGTTTCAGTATATCGCTCGATAAATATATACACTGTTTTAAATGTGCATTTAGTTTTTTGAAATTTGCAAAGTAAGCGTTACAGTTGACACAACTGTATGTATCGTGTCTCTGAAAAAGTAATAGTTAACAGGAAACATTAAATTAATTATAATAAGATATTTACAAATGTAACAATAGGTAGAAGCATACTTGTAAATGTAATTTATATTGTTGACTACGCGTAAACGTTTCTCCACATTTATAGCATACAAAACTGGCCCCGTGCTTTGCTTTGGCTCTGTGTTCCGCAACTTCTTGGCCGCTGTTAAACAACTGTCCACAATCAACGCAAACGCCGTCTTTGTCTTTGTGAGCAGACTTGTAGTGAGAATGTAAAGAACGTTTTTGAACAAACGTCTTCGGACAGAATTTACAGCCTAACGATTCAGAGTTCAATTTACATCCGTGAACTGTGACCATATGCGACGATAACACTTTGCGGCTATTGCACGGTAAGCCACACAGTTGACAGCTATTTCTCAAATGTCCGTTAACGTGCAATTCATAATGTCGTCGATTTGTAAAATGTTTTTCGCAGTGTTCACAATTATACGTTTCAGGCATTTCTTCGATGTATGAAGTTGCTGTAAGGCATTGTATAACATTCAAATATAAAATCTTCAGCACACATATTTTTCATTTAGCAATAATTAATAAACGATAAAATGAAAAAATTGAACGTACTTTTACATGAGTTCAAGGGAAAAATAATATTGTCTTCATCGGTTTTTATTAATTAAATAATTTCATAGTAAACCATTTGTTTTTCCATTTCTATAATAAGAATTATAAAAGTATATTAGATTTATCTTGCACTAAATATCAGGGCTTGGAATTGAAAAACACCAATAATAAAATAACCTGTTAAAATATTGACCGTTTTTAATAAATAAATATTTGATTACACTTAATATAGTTTATTACAGAAAAAATTTTAATTGGAGGAAATAAATAGTTTGAATGTTTTTGTGTATTCATTGCAGGGATTGAGTACATAACCAAGCCAAAATTTACATTATTTGTTATAACTACAGCAGATGTTGATTAAAATTATTTATATTCTGGTAGCACAACCGAGTTTAAACTCGACAGTGTCGGACAAGAGATAACACAATATCGCATGTCCTCCTCAAAATTGTTTGTAGTTATAATAAATAAGGTACCTTTTTGCCTTGATAATGTTATAAATTATGGTCTCTAAAGTGCAGAACAGCCGATACCCGTGTTGAACAATAACGCCGGCGTTTACAAGTTTTTCAAATCCGTAATTGTTAACACCCGTTAGCCTCAAAGCACTGCTAAATATTCATATTATGATGGTTACTTACTGGATGGTTTTTTTTCTACATGTCAACTTACTATTTTCTATCGATACATGTGAACGCATTGAAACATGTTAAATATTTTGAGTTTAATCGCGAAGAGCTACTAATTGAAAATAGTATTTAAAAAACACAGTCGCAGATAAATCATTATTCGTAAAACTTTTAAGTTTTGTTTAAACAAAAACAAATTAATAATTAATGTTATCATTATTATTTTTTATCGAGTTCAGTGTTTATCTCCTACCTTCAACCGTGCTTATCAGTTTAAAGGAGCTTATCAGTTATCACTTATCAGACTGAGTAGCTCAGAGTAATAATAATAATAATAATAATAATAAGAAGAAGAAGAAGTTCTCAAGTGCTTTGAGCAAAATGATAAAATTGAAAATACAGTGCAATATTTCGACTTTAATATTATAATATTTTGTCTTTTACTGTACAGTTTTACTAATCCATACGTATATTAAGTTGCTTTACGTATTTTCCAAATAACAATGGTCACGGTGTTATTATGACTGAAATAACTATACCCAATTACAGACTAGTGCAGGATGTGAAGCCGCATTACGTGTACACGATCAGAGTGAGCTCGAAAGGTAGTCTCGAATATGTAGAAAAACGGTACAGCGCATTCCATGCATTCCACAGAGAGGTATAACAAACGGTCGATACGACATTTTTGACGCAATTGTCATTTTTTTTTTTAAACTTAAATATTCTTTCGATCGACAGCTGAGAAAATTGATATCTACGCCGCCATTTCCGTCGAAACGCATCAGGTGTTCGCAGCCCAAAGTACTCGAACAGAGAAGAGCCGGCTTGGAGCGGTATCTACAGACAGTTTTCAAAATCGAAGACGGTTGCGTACAAGTCATGGATTTTCTTGGTTTGAAATGCCAACCTAGGTAATTCTCTTCTGCACGCTGCTTGCTTAAGATTTTAACGCTTGTTATTATTAAAAAATATATAACATTAACAATCGAGTGGTAATAAAGTGGTTTTGTTTTATTTACACAGCCACAGGATGGACGTTAAATACCAGCGTCCAGTGTTCCACTTGATCAACGATAATATTTCTACAAAGTGTAGACATGAAAAACGTTTGTGTTTACCTGACATCATTACCGAAGGTGTTCTGAAGGCGTTGTATAGTTAGTAGTTTTTATGTAGAAATACTGTATCAATTTTAGGTATACTTTACCTATTTTTATTTAATATAATTATACATTTTTTTTTATACATTTTATATACTAACTTTTTTTAAATCAAATTAATTTTTAGAACTTTGTTAATGATTTTTTTTGTTAAATTAATTCACTACGTTTATATTATTTTGTTTTAGTCATGTACAGTAATATTGAATATTTATTAACACAACAGTAAATATTAATGTTATATCAAATCATAACACTCTGCTAGCTCTGTCCATGAGCTTCAGGAATTCTGTTAAGTTTACTTGACCATCACCGTCTTCGTCGGCAACATTTAGCATCTCGTCAATTTGTCGATCAGTGACATTTTCGCCCAAAATTTTAGCCACGTTTTTCAATTCTTGAAAACCTATTTTGCCCGTGTCGTACTCGTCCATCAAACGAAAGGCTTTAATAATACTCTCTTTGGGATCTTTTTTCGACAGCAATTTGCGCATTTCCTTGACGAACACTTTTTTTTCAATTTGTCCGTCGCAGGTTTTGTCTATATTGGAAATCAGCTGTATGTATTGATATCTAGGTAATTCTATACCTAAAGCTTTCATTGCCAACTTAAAGTCTTTGGTGCTGATCTGCTCGGTCTTGTCGAAGTCCATGAGATCAAATGCTTCGCCGATTTCGATTTCCTAATTATATATGTCAATAAAAATAAAATGTATTGCTTAAAAACGATGTAAATATTTGACATGTATATGTCTATTTTATAAATAGCACCTGTTCTTGTGAAACTCTTGTACACGACATGTTTTTTGAAATAACTAAATCATTAATTAAAACATTGAAATGTACATGAATTGCGCAAAGGACACATAACATTAACAAATTCAGAAGTTGTGTTAATCTAGTTTAGTTGTGATGTATAATACATAGAAATTACATTACTAATGTCATATTATCTAAATTATTCAATGTTTGATTAAATATAATAATTATATTTATATTTGTTATGGAAACAAAGTGATCTTAATCATTGTATTGAAATATTTTATGTTAGAACCCTTTATTTATAAAATCCTACTGGTATTTTTTTACTAGCAGATAATTTTATTAAACATTTTAACAACTATGTGGCTAATAACCAATGTAAACCAGTAGCAGTTTGTTTTAAATGTTGCAATAAAAGTTTAATTAATATATTATGTATTCTAGTAAAGTTGATCAAATAATAAACGGACAAGCTTCGCAACAAGAACTTCCAAAGACTGGAAAATGTTTTCACTCACTATAGAATGCCAATAATAGTAGACTAATATAAAATACTTAAAAGTTAGCTTAAGGAACAGCTAAAAGTGATCCAACTAAGAACAGCTATCTAATTAAAATAATGATTTCGTTTTAGGTTCAATGGATTTTACCTACTATAAATGCACATTGAACAAAGGTCGGTGAATCAATCATCTATTATATACTGTTATAATACTTGAGTTATTTACATACAAATTAAATGGTGAAAAATAAGAATGTTATTTTTTTTAAATTTCCAGTAAAAAGTGACAATTTGCTATCAACTGAAACACTAAATAGTTTGGTTATTTTTTTGAAGAAAATAAATTCTATCTACACACGAGTTGTTCATTGTAAAAGTGGTGTACTCCAAAACAAAACAAATTATTTATTTATTACATATTTAGTTTTGGGGGGCATTTTCTAAATCATTACAGATTTGTATAACCTTTGATTTGTAATAAACAATAATAAAAAAATAGAAAACACTGAATGAATACAAACTTGTATTTCCTTTTCTTACACACGACCCAATTTACAAAAAGCTCGGTTTTTTCAAAATTCAATTATAAAGAGATGATTCACTCTTACATTGACCGACACATATTTTTCCCGTTTGTTTACAATCAACCTAACCGACCAGAATTGAATAATATACATTTAACTAATGAAACTGACAATTTCGAATCGTGCCCATCTACAGCAGTACATTTGCTGCACCTTCAACACTTGCTATACATTAAAAATGTACATATATTTTAGAAAATAACGTTTATGCTAAGGGAATTGCATGCGGTCTGTGTTTAAGGAGTTTTGTATACGCAATATTTAAGTAAAAAGAGGTTTCAATACATTTCGACCGTGTCAATAAATTATTATCCGGTTTCTTTATGAGTTAAAGTCCTTTTTTACCCAAAAGCTAGGCCAAAATTTCGACTACTTAGGACGGTCCAATTTCAAGTTTGTAAAGAGATTCAAGTTCATTGGCTACTTATTACTACATTATGTTATGTAGGAAACAGATTTTCACTTAAAAAATGTCAGTTTCTAAACCGTCAAAACAAAATATCAGATTAACCGTTTGAGTGAAGAAGAAATATATTGATATTTCGTTGAAATATCGATCATAAATCTTTTTCGTTTGTAGCTCTAAAAAATAAAATTAAAAAAAAAAAAAAACCAAACCAATAGCAGCTTCTCCGAGCCAATTAATAATTATTAAAAAACAATATTTCGTAACAGATTTTTGGTCACGAATGCGGTTTGTTAGGATTAAAAATGTGTTGTAATAATATTATTATCAACGTTCGGTAGGCCTAAAAAAAAAGCGGTTTTTTTAACGTATCGGTCGCATCCACCCGAAAATACCATCGTCGTAAATAACACTGGCACATAAAAAAAAAAAAACCATCATTGTTTTCCTCTTCATTTATAAAACACTATAATATTGTGTACAAAGTCGAGACAGTTATTAATAAGGATAACAGCTAGAAGGCACTAGAATAGCAGCAGAGTACACCATACTATACCGTTTTATACACCTCGGTGGCCTCAAGTCATATAATGTCGAACAAAGTTATATTGTATTTTATACTATATTTAACCAAAAGATTGAATGCTTTTATATGGTTCGTTTATATCGTATTTTCTGTGCGGTTAACCCGTGTGGTAATGATCACGTTTTTTAATTTTTATTTTTTATCCAGCAACCAGTCGTGAGTAGTTGCTTTTGGTATCCAACAACAGCTATTCTTTGTGCGCGACTCGACTAAAAAACTGTATTATATAGTACAATCCGCTTGGACTAATTATTATAATCATTGTCGGTTGTTCCATTCATTAAATGAATTAATTTTTTTTATTCTTAATATGCCCCGTATAGCGTTCAAAATATTTATCCCGTCGAAACAAGTACAGTGTAATAAGAATACTTACAACGAGCTTCGTCCGTGCGGTAAGATTATTATTATTATTATTTTTTTTTTTATACTGAAATTTATCACCTCCAAACAGCAGTCAGAATATCGAGGATCATAGATGCCAAAGTCTCGAGACTTACCGAGGAAAGTGTCGGACAAGTCGTAAATAATTGGGATTTTTATTTTCTACTAAAAAACTGTAGTTTGAAAGTAGGCCGAAGCGCCTTTTAACGCACGATAATATGGAAAACGATATATTTTAAAAATGTATGTCCTATAAATATAAAAATCAAAAAAAATCCAGTCATGATCGTCGCTTTTGGTGAAAATCGTTATTACTCGAATGGGAACACTATTTGTCTAGTTAAATTGCCCGCCAGTCTACCGGTCAACATTTAAAATTATAATATCAAGAAAATAATTAACAATTATATAATATTAAGAAAGTAAATTTAGGGATACATTATAATGTGAATTGCCTTTATCAAAAACCGAAAATTTGAATTTCTATTTTAAACTTTTACGAAATGGTTATTTTAAAGTAATATCATTCGAATAGAGACGTTAAAAATTCTAAAAATTTAACCTGAGAATTACTCTGAACTATTGTGTTGAATTTAAACAATTACCAAAAGGGTTTAGTTTTTAAATCATTTTTGAAGGTACTATAGTAACTTTTTGAAAAGAGCTAAGTATGTACTTTTCCGGTTATTAGTTTTTGATTTACAATATTGTGTACAGTTATTGCAGATATTTTTTTGAAATGTTGAATGGATAATATTCCACAAACAACATTATTGACTGTAGTTCTGTTTTGGAAAAACCGCAAATTCACTAAATTATTGACACTTAAAATGTGTGCTTTCCTTTGGCAAATAGACTGTAGGTAATTATTTTGCTGTTGGCTACGGTACCAATGGGCGACTCGCATATTCAGAATAGAATATAAAGATAAACTAATAAACGTTTACCAATAGGGTAACATTTGGCTTATTAAACCGGAGCACGCGGGTTTCTAATACTGAGAACGATGATGTGCAATCTTATACCGAGACGACGTTAATCCGGCATTTTGTATTCAAACAGTGTCCAGAAGTGAAACCGTTTAATCTAAAAAGGTCGGAGTCAAAGACCTTTTTGGCATCTAGTTAGGACTAGATAGATGTACGAATCCTAACTAGCAGTAAATCATTCGATCATTTATTGAACAACAAACATATTTTTAAGTCTCGGTTTGTTGTTTTCTTTATACACAATTCACTTACTTTAATTGACTTTTTACTATGTTGGTTTTTTTTTTAAGCAAAATAATATCGTCTTGGGGCTTTTTTTAAATTTTTATTTAGCTTCCATACCGTGGCGTTCTTGATTAAGCCAGTTGACTAGTTCAGCCTTTTCATTCCTGTCATTTGCTTATTATGATTATGCATTTATTAAGATTTTTACCTGCCTATTATTATTCGCCTCCTGTACAAGCTGTATAAGCTAAAATTGGGCTGAACAATTTATATGTGTATCACAATTATGCGATAGCACTTTTTTATTCAAATATAAATGTTTTATTTTCATCTTCTTTTACAGTCGACCGAGTTTCACACGCATATTTGAAAACTTGTTTTGTGAAACTATCAAGTACAAAAGGTTGACCTTCCAGACAGAGGTATTTATATTGAAATAGTTTTTCAAATGCATAATGCAAAATAACTAGTGATGGGAAAATCCGGATTTTGGATTTTTAGTTATCAATCCGTAGACTGGATTTCAATAATATTTTTTTCAATAATAAATCAAGTATATTGGTTAATTATTTATTTTTTTGACCATTGACCATCAACAGTTGCTTGGGTTCAATAGTGATTTCTTATCAAAACTAAGGTTTTGTAAAAAAAAAAAAACTACAAAAATATAACTAAAATTATTATAAATTGATAGTTATTTTTTATTTTTTTTATTTCTTACAAATAGTGAACTTGTAATACAGAATACTTACTTCGTGTTTAAACTTGAATATGTAGAATCGTTGGAAACATAAAATTTAGAGTAATTTAGTCAAAGGGGTCCGATAATAAGATTTTATAGAGCATTTCTTAAAACAATTTTTTTTTTAAATTTACAATCTGTATTCATATGTACAACAAGTATAAATGGCTAATTTTTTTATTTTACAAAACTGGACGGCTTGAGTGAATGGGGCACTATACTTCAGTCGTAGGGCATTATACAACTTAAAAGTCAAGTCTAATTTAAACAATGCGGTCGTCTTGCAAGCACTACTGAATTGGTAATTACAAATAATTAGCTTTATGAAGTTTAAACCGGTAATTCAGATTTTTATTTAAAGGCGGATTACAGTTCAAACTTTAAAGTCCGGATTTATCGTTAAATCATTATTAGGGATAGGTTTTTTTTTAGCAAAATCTACTATATTAAAATAACATATTACCTACATTGAAGTGTAGATAGAGGCGGAACCCGACCGCAATGTTTGTCCACGGCTAACATAAGCGGCTTCTTTCAAAGACTTTCATTTAAAAAAACCATTCACCGTCGCCGCCGTCACCTGTGGGGCCACCCATGAAACGTTTTCTTCTGGCATAATTATAATTTATAAACCTAACAAAAACTATTATTTTCTCTTATTAGAGACAAAGCTGCATCGTTTTCTTGCCATCTGTATCAAACAGCGACGCTTAACTGCTGCGTTTCCTGGCCGCTGACTGCAATATTATTATTATTATGGTTATGGTTAAACAATTTTATTATAATATACCGTAGGGATGTGTGCCTTCTTCTCCGGTTTTTCGCTGTGGGCGAAATCAACGGATTCAACGGGTTAAGTCATAAACGCGTACTTACAATTGGAACTGCACACACACACAAAAAGCGACCGTTAAATCCGCTGCTGCATATGTGCACATGTCGTAAATCCCAGTATAATAATGTGGCTGGTATAGTAATAATAATTGTTATTACTAATTAGTGGCCCGTGTACGACATGCACAATATTATCCAGAGTTGTATACCTGCCCACAGAGAATACTATGCGAGCCAGTAAATTCGAATCGGTCAAGAGCTTTTTGTTGTACAACACCGCAAACGAGTTCAGTTGCATTTCAAATTCAATATCACATATACACTTTTAACTTGGCTTAAATTCATTGGAAATAATAGATTCTTAAAATCTGCGTACAAAAGAAATACAATAGGTAAAATATATTCTATTAGTAATTAACTAGATCATGAATACCGTGGAAGATAACTAGATCATGGAATAGGGTGACCATTGATATTGCTTCCAAGTATGCGTTTAGGATTAGATAATAATAATCGAAGAAAAGTTTTCCATTAGAAGATTGAAATTTGGAGAAATTATTTACCTATTACGGTAGTACGTAGAGAGATTAAGGGGTTGATTATTGATTTAAAATCAAATCAGTCGGACGGCTATGGAGTCGATAGTGGTGGTGATAGGAGGAGGGTTAAAATGATTTCGGGAAACGTATTTGGTTGCATTTACATAACACTCTGTGGGTGGTAAATTTACACTTACTGAAGTAGTGTTTACATTGGTTGATTTTACATGTTTCCAGGATGATTCCCTGCACAGAGTGCGCAGTTTTATCAAAGTCTGTATTTTCTCAACTATAAACTTCATTCCAGAACGTTTCTTAAGAGGTAGACCGGCTACCTCCCCGCCCCAATATGCGATATCTGTGGCATTTGTTTCTTTTGGCTTGACCACACTCGAAGCAATAGAGCCTGATAATATAGTCTATACAATTTTACCAGAATGTGCAGCACGAGGGGATCGAGCAGATATATATTTTTTATATTATATACCTATTATTGTGTACAGCGTGCGGCGTTTAGGCGTGATAATACAATAATAATTAACCGGTCATTTCGTGGTCGCCGGACCGAATCCGATTTAATTGAGACCTTTCCGTATATGGACGGACTATTATCTCACACATTGCGTGCCCGAATATATGTATATAATAATAAAAACCACCCCGGGGAAACGTACTGCTCTATAGGTACGGTGTGCGACAAAAGAAAGGGGCGTCGTTCAAGGTGCAAAAAGAGCACACCGATATTATACTTAATCCTGGGCTATATCCATATATACCTATGTATATGGATTTTTTTTTTGTACGATTAATATATATTATACGTACATGACGACCGTGACCCGGGGGTCTATCCCCGTGACATAATGGGCTGCGGTTATTAGGCGTGCACGTCAGGCCCGCACAGAACCAATTACGAGGTCCGGGAGGCGTGTACGTTTCTCCGTCCCCCCTTCGCTTCGAGTAGGCAGAACAGACGGATAGATAGAGGCGCTCCGGCCGGGGCATTAAAGTCTCCGACGCCCCGTGGACCGATCGCTGCCCGTGTGGTTGTATTTATCTATCCGTGTGTGTGTGTGTGTGATAACCCGCCGGTTAAGTGCGAACGTGTCCGTCAGTGGAGTGTGTGTGTGTGTTTTTTTTAGAAAATTATTTAAATTAAATTCTACCAATCAGCCGGAGAGACACCTCCTGTCACAGACATGATGCGCCGCTCCGGCAGCGACGACACGTGAGCTTGGACCTGGGTGGGTGTGATGCCCCGGACTTCTTAAAGGGTCTACCGGCCCATTATGCGTACAGTCCGGACGGGTATTATCGCCAGAGTGTTGTTTTGGAACGTCTTTTTGGCCGTCAACTTCAGGTGGGTGAATTATCGCCATTAATTAATGTATTTCATATAGAAGGTGGCTATAGAATAGCTGTTATCTACAAAACAGACTTGTATACACTTAAAAGTAATATTGTTCAATATCTGTCGAGTTATCTGTATTTATTAGTTTATAATATTACTTTCAAGTGCATCTGTTTTCTAACTATTCTTAAAAGGTCACTGATTCGGGTACTATCACAACACAATACAGTGTTAATAGTATTCAACAGCCAAAATATTATGTATGAATTTTTTGCCCATCGAACTATTAAAATGATTTTCAAAAGTATTTCGAGTACTTATACATAAAATAAAATAGGTAACATAAAATGTTCCACATTATATTATTAAGTATAAAATTAAAGTGAAAAAGTATTAAGTAAAATATTGTATTCAGTCTCGTGAAATAAGTAACACTAACCAACCGATATGCAGTGTACACATTCTGTATACATATCATATATCATACAAGATCTGCAATCCATTTAAAAACCCACTTTTTTATTTTTTACAATATAAATAAACTTTAATTATAGCTTATTAAAAAAAAAATTCTAAAAGTTCCAACATTTTTAGTGTGTTTAAAAAAAACACTGATATAGTTATTTTGACAAAACCGTACAACACGAAGGAGTGCTAATCTTATGAACACTAGTAAAACAACATTTAAGGCTGAGTTTACTTAAGACACCTGTGATATTGCATGAGTCAAAAAATATGTAAGTAAACAGTCAAAAAATAAAAGTTCTAATTATTGCCTCAACGCAAATTCTGCTTTACAACCTTTTAAAATGTTTTTAGGCTATCTTGATTGCACATCTCTTATCGAATAAGTTCTTTTAATAATCTTGCATTGGCCAGATATTAACAATAGTAAGCCATTTTTTCAAGTACCTATCCTAGCTATAGTAATAACTAGAAAACATATCCAAACTAACATGTCCATATTATGTAGTATTTACAAACTTTCGGCTAAGACGAGAGACCATGTTACAGTTTAGTGCTACAACGTAGAGGAGAGAAAAAAAGATAAACATGAGCAAATCTTGTATTGTATAAGATAGCAGTCAGCAAACGATCACCTCCAGATACGCTTGTAAAATATATACAGGTATATTTTTCAATTACTGTAGCCGCCAGCTACTAAAAACTTGTTTTACACAAGTACCTATGAGCATACATATATAGGCTTTACATATTGTACAAGCTTGAGCGCAACGCGATAATAATTAAGTACAAAAAACGTCGAATAACAATATTATTATGTTCTATAAGAAAACTCGAGTTATTATTAAGAAAATAAATTGTTTATTAAATACAATCAATTATTTTTGTAAACGTGCATATTATATTGCATGTTGTATATTATTATTATGTTAACACGGTTTGGTCGTTTTTCGACCAACTTAAAAAATATGAAATTTAAACGAATAAAAAAGTAACTAGTTATTAGATATAAAAAATATATGTTCCTGACCCAATTTCTTTTTTCTCGACCAGAAACTTTAAAATACAAATTTGCATACAATTTTCACTATATTTGTTGTACACAATTTTTTCCCCTTATTGTGTCTTATGCGAATGTGTATTTTTTCAATGAAACGAAATTGTTTGACAAAGAATCGCATTGATGGTTTTTTTTTTTGTTAAACTCATATAATGTATAATTACTATAAAAAAAAAAACCAACCGTGTATTATACTCGCCATATTGTTCTCTGCACAGTGTACATGTACAGGATTCGTATGGACTATATGGCCAATGTATTGTAACAATAATAACATAATAATATCGACCACGGTAATGGTAATGGCATTTTCCGGATTTTTGTTCTTCTCGCATCATATTTATATATATAATATATTTTATTAACCGAACCGATCGTCTCTCCCCTTTCACCGTGTGATTAATGCGCTAACCGTCCCACGGACCCTAAACCACGTCGAATCGATAGATCCCCGGAGGGCTTTCCGTTATAGAATTTCAGACCAAGCTTACTTCGATCGCGGTATAGCCGGTGCTGGACCGACTCCACTCACTCCCCGGATACGGGCACATATTATTATGTGTTGTAAATATATAAAAAAAAATGTCAAAACCCCCCAAAAAAACTTCCTAAACGGGGGTTTTTTTTTTCTTCAAAACAGGCGAAAACGTTAAAAATCAGAGAAACGATAGGAATAACTTACTACAGTTGGGGTTTGGTCCGGTCCAAATTGTGTCAAATCCTGTCAACATGTTTTTTTTGGCTCTCAGTTCAAATTTTAAATGTATCATGAATCGACAGTGTTGTTAAACAAATCAAATAGCAACGTATATACCTACAATAAAACGTAAAAAGATATAAATTATTTTAATGAAAGTTTGAAAACGAAAATACAATATTGACATCAACGAAGGAACATACATTTCAACATTGTAGTTAACAACAGTATACAAATTAAAAAAACGAGTCATTTTTTAAATTTATTCGTATCGTTTGTCGTTACACGCATTAATTAAGTAATGATAATGAGATAACAAAATTTTTAGTTGATACGAGTGACAATAGTTAAAATATATTATTATTAAGCAATTAACAGATTAAGGTATTTGGTATCAAAGTCGGAGCCTCTTATTGTCTGATGGCCCTGAAAGAAGCCGTTTTGGCTTCTTTCAGGATTGAGTTGAATTGTGTTAGTAGCCAGTTTGTTAGTAAGTAATACATAAATTAAAATACTGACTTATTTAAAGGAAAACAGAGCAATCACTATACCCTCCTACTACAACCATGTATATTGCAGAACGACTACTTATTGACACACTGTAGATGATGTTATCCAATTTTTATCGGCTATTGGTGTAAAGTAAAACTGCCGGTTTTTTTACTATCGTTAATGTAGGTATATTATACCTACACCGTATTGCAGTTTACTGCACTAAGTAATAATGATAATACCAATATTGTGGTTTTTTTTATGGACTAAATCAAAAGACACACATGTATGCATGCATATACATTGGCCATCGGTCTTATGTGCGTTTATATTATTATTATTATGTACACTTATGTGAAAGGTTGTGTTGGCGTGCTCTGGGGGCGCTGTGCGAGCGAGGGAGGAGAAGAAGAAGAAGAAGGACCCGGTCGAGAGAATGCACGAGCCAGAGCATATACACCACCGCAGACGGGCCCTTAGGCATTCACCACACACACACACACAACCAGTCGGAATACCTTCGAAATACTTGACGGTCGTAAATTATGGCGTTTAAAAAAAATAAAAAATTGAAAAAAAAAAATAGTCTGATGTATACATTATAATATGTATCTGTGTGAGTATGTATTTTTTTTTTTATTGTCAAAAATCGATTATAAATCAAAATCGGCCAAACCGTGTTTCGCAAATGGCATAATATTATTATACTATCTGTCCATCTATATTATATTATGTATTATAATACATATAACTAATAAGAACAATGAGTAATAAACGTATATATTATTATCGACCGTCTTGGGAACGTGTGTCAGTGTGTGTGTAACGTCTATAGGTGGATAGTAATATTATGGCAAATATATTATTGACGACGGTGCGACCGGTGTGTCCACGCTGTCAATTTTCCGGTTGAAATTTTCAATTTGTTTTCACACGGGTAGATAATAATATTTAAACGATTGTTAAACGCTTTCTTGTCTTGTCCATACTGTATGTATTACTTCCTCTGTAGGATAATATATGTCTAACATCAACAGGGTTGGGCATATTAGATGTTAGTTGCCTAACATGTACCTATAACAAAGTCGTACCAATCGGTTGAACTTGGGTACAGCTGTTATGTTATAGTGTGCAACTAGTGGTAGTAGGCAAAAGTCAAATTTAACTTGTACCATGTAGAAGTAGTATACATTGAGTAAAAAATAAAAAAAACTGCTTGATTACCCGCCACTGGACCGCACAGCATTAGACCTATAACCTAATAGTGGAGACCACGATATATATATATATATATAGAGAGAGAGAGAGAATATTTCACTGGTGGGAAGGTAACTTGAAGAAACCGACGATGATGATAATAATAATAATTAAAATTATTACGGGTAGGCCGAAGGTGAATTAAATCGAACGTTTGTTGTGTGTTGTATTAGTGCATTTTTCATCTGGGTTTTCAGGTAGGTGTGTACATACTGTATAGGCGCATTCACGGTATTATACATACCTATATAAGAACAACGCGTTAGAAATTAATCACCTACACGTGATCGCTTACAAATGACCGAATGAAATGATTTACGAGGTTTACTCTGGCGGATCTATTAACGAGGGCCAGGTAGGTACATACATTATATGTGTACCTGTATTGTGCGCTCATTGATAAAATTAAGATTACCACACACGAACATAATATATTATTAACGTCATCAGAATATGTACACGACCGATATTTTCGCATACCTATTGTTGTTGTGATGAAAATACTAATTTTTTTCTTACACAAGCTCGTAACTTTGAAAGCTGGCCCAACGTTTTTGGCGAGGGTCGAAGCCTTACTCATAAAAATATTTCTCATGTATCAAAGCGTTGGGCCTGTCAATCACATTGCTGCTATTACTAAAAATTATTTGCACGACTTTCCAAAAGTTAATTTCTGAATGTATGCAACAATTATTATTTTCTATACAACATAATATAGATGAATTGGCCGATGGTTAGGTTATGAAATGTTGATAAATGTTTAAACATTTTTAATCTAATAATTAAAAAATGCCTAAAATACAGTGTGTTGAATTTGATGACAAATGTATAACATAAGTGCAAATGTAAGTGCTTGCATTAAATTCAACTCATCTGAATGAGCCTTACCTGTTCACATTTGCTCGGTATTATTATATACATATATATATTGATATATTTATCATCGTCAGGTACGTGGCGACAAATAATAATGGTTAAAATCAACAATAATTACCATACTACAATTTTCTATTTTTATTTTTGGCCGTTGAAAAGTTT